TCAGTCCCACACCCCCCACTCCGACCACCTCCGTTCCCAGGAACCAAGGCTCCTTGACTCCAGCCTGTAGCTCATCCCTGATCTGTCCCTCCTGTCTGCCCACCTGCCTCACTGGCCCTCACTCCTCCCAGAGCACCCTCCACCTTCCTGCCAGCCCTCTTGTTGCATCTGCACACCACAGCCCCCACCACCACGTCAGCATCCGACAGCCACCCCACTCGGTGGCTTTTCTGATAAAATGTGTCCTTGGCCTCCCACTTCCTAGTGATTTCAGTGCTTTTTCAGAAACATGCTCACGTTTTCTTCCCATCTATGCCAGGGTTTCCACACCCTGCAGTGGCCTGTAAAGCATCCTGTTCCTTCAAGGCCCGTCTCAGACTCTTAACTCCTCCACGGACAGACCTTGTCTCCAGCCTAATGAGGTCTCTCCTGCCAAGGGCCCCACAGGTTTTCTCTTTCCCGTGCTCTTTGGATTTTGTCTTCCCTGAAAAGAGCCTATAATGTTCATGAGGATGAGGAGAGGAGTGGTTCCGATTCTCCAGTGACGGGCACATAAGTCGTCGGTAAATATCTGTTAACTCCATGAAGAGACACCAGTGTTTCAGTATGAACTTGGAGACTCCATCTTCTCTTGTGTGGTCCTGAGGAAGCTCTCAGGCAAGCACATAGTTGTGAGCAAACTAATGGCCGCCAAGAAAGAGCACGTTCCAGGCATCTGTCTGGTGGGCGAGGCCAAGTCCTTTAGCGTTTCCTACAGCACGGCCTGCCCACATCAGCTCCTGGCATGCTGTTCTGTTAGTTTACATGACAAGGGCCACTGCGAAGGTACAACCAGAGGGAAACTAAGAGCAGTCGGCTGCTGCTGAATCTCGTGGTGGCTTGGCAGAAAGTGGTCTCCCGGGACCCTTGGCATTTTTACACACTGCTCTCCTGGTGACACTTCCATGGAGCTTAAAGAGGGCAGAGGCTGACGTCATGGCTTTGAGAATGCTGGCAGAACTCAGGTGGCCCGTGCCTGAGATGCGCAGCCCGCTCTCATTACCGCCTTCCCTCCTTGTGTGTGAGGGGAGCACCCACATGGACTCCCTTGCCCTTTCCTCCCCAATAGACTCACAGAAAGAAAGCGATGTCCATGCTAAAGAAACACTGGAAACAGCAGTTCTGGGCACCTGACCTCACTCAGCTCTCGGGCTTGTTGAAGCAAGCTAGAGGCTGGTGTGATTTCAATGATAAGGAGAACAAAGGAAAAATAAACCTGCTCTCCCACATCTTTGCAATGATGCTCCTTCCCCAGCCCAGGGCTGCAGAGAAGGTCTGTGCCAGCTTTTGAGCCATCCAGGTGTGGGGCCATGCTCTTTGCCCATTTCCCTGTGCCCAGGTGCCAGCTACCACTTGAGCGTGTGGGGTGACAGCCCTATGGTGCTGAGATTTCTCTTTCTCTGGCTTCCTTGTACCAGCGTTTTCATTCCCACTAAGCTTTACAAATACATTCCACTTGCATCAATGTTATGCCTGTGTTCAACTTTAAAATTATACTCTGAACAGACCTGGTGTGATTCCATATGGAATGATTTACATGCCGGGCAAGAAACTTTTGCTGGCCAACTGCTAGTTGAGTAGTTATTCTAGAGACCATTATCAGATTATAATGCTGCCAGGGAAGTTGTTAAAGTTGTCAGATCCTCTGGTCCTGGAGAGCAGGAAACCGTGATGTTGATGCTCATTAGTATGGCTGTGAACAAAGGTCAGAGTAGGAAATAACCACTCTGTCTTGCTCTTTGCAGTATTCTGAAGTCCATGGAGTTTGCACCGTCTGAGGGAGCTGGGACACAGGTACATGGTCTCACTTTGCTTTTAGTGTATATGAGTGTCCGCATGGCCATGTCACTGTTTGTCTCTAGGCAAGCTTCACTATCTCGATATTTCTGTGAGACCTCTCGCCTTTAGCTGGCCAATCATGCCTCAAGAACACTTAACCAAGTTAAAGCAATTTGTCTTTATTTAAAAAGAAAAGTTAGTGTTTTCCAAACTGGTAACTCAATTTCGGTGAAATTGTGATTTAAGTTGGTACAAAGAACTTGAATAAAAACAATTTCAGATTGTGTTAAAGATCAGCCCAGAAAGGTTGGCTTAGGAGCTTTTATTATCTACAGAGGCAAGGTGACAATAGCACTTGGTAATCTGGTAGCCAATTAAAATTTAAGTAATCTCATGGAATCCTGCTCCTGATGCCCATAAAACAGCTGACTCTTTGTGGCTGGCACCTTTACAATGATTTTCTGACAGGTGTATGGCTCTGCAGCCAGTCCTATTGCCAGATGAGACACAGGTTTATACCACTTGAATTTGGGGACAAAATAGAGAATAGTTGTCTAGAAGAAGAAAAATTATTACAACTGGAATGAATTCTTTTGGAAAGGAACTTGAATGTTTTCCATGCGTGTGTCAATCACCATCGGGAGAAGTCAGATTTCCATAACATGTTGGGTGGGAAGCCATGGAGTAGTGTGGTCACAGGGTCTGAGGCCTGAGGAGTGGAGGGTGGCCGCCCGCAGTGAGCCCCACTCTGCCCTGTCTAGGACGCATCCAAGCCCCTGGAGGTGCTGCTGCTGGAGAAGAACCGCTCGCTGCAGTCCGAGAACGCCTCTCTGCGCATCTCCAACAGCGACCTGAGCGGTAGGTTGACAGGCTCTCACGAGCCCTGCTCTGTCCCTTCCAGGGTCGAGGAAGAGGAAGGTGAACCGTGAGTCTGGGCCGATGCATGATGGGAACATCACTGGTTGATGAGAACCTTGACTAATAAGTGTTTGGTCTCCTCGTCCTCCTCACTGCTCCTCTCCTCCCCTCCCCCGCCTGCTTAAAGACGGTCAAGGCGAGATATGTGGCCGCAGAGTATCTGTGGAGGTCAGTTAGGCCAGTGTTGCAGATCACAGGAGGGACACTCGGAGGATGTTGGCTTTCTCACCTTTGCCTAGTTGTGTGGCCTCTCGCTCGTGGTGTTCCGGGGGCTGTGGACAAGGTTAGCCCTGCCCTTCCAGGCTCAGTGGAGCTTTTCTTCCTTCGTCAGGTTTTTCTTGGGAACACGTCCCCCATCCTTAGCCTTTCTTTGCTCATCCCAAAATGGTGGCGTCACTGACTGCTTCTGGTTTTGGCAGCTGGTAAACCATTTAAAAGTGTCTCGGGCTCCGATGATATTTCATTCTTAAAATGTGCGTGCCTTCGATCGAACGGACTCGGTGCAGTGCATTCGCCTCCGAGCACGTGGTGTGAGAGAATCTGTTGGTCCCAGAATGTCAGTGTTTGCTGCTCCTCAGGTGGGGCTCTCCTGGCAATAGCTCGAATGCCAGAGGCCCGCGACTTGTCAACTCTACTGTGTGTGGTACCGGCTCCTTGTCACTTTAGGAGTTTGAATCTATGTCAAGGGGACTCTCCAGGCTGCAACGTACAAGAAAGGTGCAAACATGAAATGCATGTTGCTTGTTTCCGGGGGGCCTTGTTTGGCTGATTTAAAAATTCAATTGAAAACAAACCAACACTGCTCATTGGCCCTTGTAAAATATGCACTTTTTTTCCCTTATGTGGGGCAAACTTTGCATTTTGGTCTTGGTTTTTTTTCCCTTTTGAATCCCCCATAATGCATTATGTTTGCCCTTCCTTGTAGGGTCAGCCAGGAGAAAAGGGAAAGACCAGCCTGAGAGTCGGCGTCCTGGACCTTTGCCGGCGCCCCCTCCTCAGTTGCCCCGCAACACGGGGGAGCAGGCTTCCAATACTAATGGTACACACCAGTTCTCACCAGCGGGGTTAACGCAAGACTTTTTCAGCTCATCCCTGGCAAGCCCCAGCCTACCCCTGGCTTCTACGGGAAAATTTGCACTAAACTCTCTCCTCCAACGACAGCTAATGCAGTCCTTCTACTCCAAGGCCATGCAGGAAGCAGGAAGCACAAGCATGATTTTTTCAACAGGTCCATACAGCACAAACTCCATATCTTCCCAAAGTCCATTACAACAAAGCCCAGATGTAAATGGCATGGCCCCGTCTCCCAGCCAGTCAGAAAGTGCTGGGAGCGTCTCCGAGGGCGAGGAGATAGACACTGCAGAAATCGCCCGGCAGGTGAAAGAGCAGTTGATCAAGCACAATATTGGACAGCGCATTTTTGGACATTATGTCTTGGGACTGTCTCAAGGGTCCGTGAGCGAGATTCTGGCCCGGCCCAAACCATGGAATAAACTGACTGTTCGCGGGAAGGAGCCTTTTCACAAGATGAAGCAGTTCCTCTCGGATGAGCAGAACATCTTGGCTCTTCGCAGCATCCAAGGCAGACAAAGAGGTGAGAGACTTTCATGGGTTGGCACCAGCGTGTGAGCCTGTCACAGAGTGCTGTGTGTGTGTCTGTGTGTGATGAAACATTTGTGCATCACCTCAGGTAAAATTCTCTTCAGCTCTACTATTTCCAGAGTTCAAGGGTCAACTGGCAAAGAGTAAAAGTTGTTAGATTTGGGAGATCCAGCCTCTGAAACATGCTCATCACCTCACATGTAGTAAACTCAGTATTTCAGTACTGTGTATTGAATCGGTAGAATTACATTACATACAATATCTCAGCGTGTTTAGTGTCCAGGGATCGATTGGCCTTGGGTGCTGGCCTCACATGAGGAGGAGTTCTTGAGGTACCAACCAGCCCTAGAGCAGCAGCAGCAGCGGGGCCCATCCTCACACAGAGCTGCTTCCGTCGAGAGAGTGTGTCCTCTCTTCCCAACACACAGAAGGGAGTGTGTCTTGTGGCCAACTCGCTCCCAGTGCCTATGTTCTATTTAGTGATTTATTTAGCATTATAAGCAAAACATGCCTGCCTTGAGTTAAATACATGAAAGTTTCATTAAAACATCTTTCCTACCCCACCCTCCATAAAAAGATAAAAAGTCAGTCTGGTCCCTAATTGAAAGAATTCCTTCCCTCTCTAACAGCAGGGGATCATTCTGCTAAAGCAACAATGATAGCGAGAGGTAATCTTAGACACGTTTGAAAAAACTTGAAATTTAGGCTCAAAACAAATCAAAGGGAGACATTAAAACAGCATCAGTTTACATAAAGCACATCGAGGTTTTTATGGCGATGTTAACTGTCTTTGGATGATTAATGTGAGCTTTGTCCCGGGGGCTGGTGGGCGATTCGCTTGGCGGCAGTGCTCCCTCTGTTTGCCCTGGTGGCGTTGGTGCCGCAGGTCCATCTGATCTCCTTTTGCAGCAGAGCCATGGCCTCTGAGGCCGATCAGCCAGGGAAGGGCCTCTCAGAAGTTTCTGGTAGCTCCCAAGTTGCACAGGAAGCCCCGAGCCCTCTCGGTAGTTACAGGTGGCTCAGATTTCATGTCACGCAGCCCATATCGTCAACACCACCATCCCCCTGATTGTTTTGTTCTTACCACACTTGTTTTTCAACAGAGAATCCAGGCCAGAGCCTGAACAGACTATTTCAGGAAGTACCGAAACGAAGAAATGGGTCTGAAGGTATGTTGCAGGCAGGTGTTTTTCTTTGCAGTTAGTAACCTAGGAAGCAGCATGTCCTTAGCTGTGTATTTGGGTTAACACTGTGCAGTGTGATTCTGGCCTGGAACCTGATGGAAAAACAGATAGTAAGTATAAAACAAAGCACGGGTTCAAGTACACAAGGCCCCTTCCTTCTGAGCTGCTTGCACTCTACCGAGTGCAGAAGAGGTGGGCTCCACCACTAAGATTTAGTCCCCAAATAAGAATCCCAAACCCCGTTAGATTCAAATTATACCTTTTCCATTTTCTCAGAAGCAGGTGAAAGAATAACAGTTGTTGCTCTGAGAAAAATCAGGTGACTAAGTCAAATGAGATATTGCTGCTTCCTTGTACTATCTTTTAATTCTGAAATACATTGAAGGTGCTACAGAGTGGACAAATTCCAATCATAATCAGTTTTCCTGTGGGCCCTGCTAGCCAACCCCGACCATACTCCTTAGAGTGGCATCTCTAATGGGGCTTGGTCCCAGTGGTAGGCTGGGTTTTAAATGGTTTGGTGTGGCAGTTTATGTTTAGTAAGGTAGTGAAAAATTAAAACGTGGATGGCTTCCAGAAAGAACTGGGGCCAGCCCCCGGGCCGTAGTAGCTTCAATACATCTGTATTGCAGCTACTCTGCAAAGCATCACCGTGTAACCAAAAGACTGAATTCTTGTCCTTTAGGGATTTCTGTAGGCTCCTCTCCTCATTAATAAATTTTTTTAAATGTATTACTGATTTTAGAGAGGGGGAAGAGAGAGGGAAAGAGAGATAGAAACATCGATCAGCTGCCTCCTGCACATGGTCTACTGGGGACCAAGCCCACAACCTGGACATGTGCCCTGACCAGGAATCGAACCAGTGACCTCTTGGTGCATGGGACGATGCTCAGTCCACTGAGCCACACAGGCTGGGCTCATTCATAAACTTTTAAAAGACAGGATGTGATAACAGATTGAAAATTTTAAGTTAAGCCTTTAGCCTCTTTACTTTGTACATCCAAATGATTAATAGGTAATCAGCCTCAACCTTTTACCCTTCTTTTCCATTTTTCCTTTTGGGATACCATCCTCAAATACACGTACAGAACCTTGAACATAGCCCCATGTCAAAGCAGTTATTGGAATTGCTTTTAAATGATTTTCTCTCCCTGGTCCCAACCCATGGGTGTCCAGCTTGAGTAAATGTGAGAGCTTATCCCACTGGCCGAATAACATTCAACGTCAGGTAGATTCAGCACGAAGCCCTTTATGCATGGGGTCACGGTACCTGCTATGAAGTTGCATGCACAGCAGGTACAGGTAAATGGGAGGCCGTACCTGCCTCCTTACCATCACCAGCCTCAACTCCTGTGAGATCTGTTGATCAGAATGACATCTTTGTGCGGCACTGGTTCTTGTTCCAGGTGTGGGTTTGATGTCATTGGTGTGGCTTCTCCTTGCAGGTAACATCACCACCCGGATCCGAGCCTCAGAGACTGGGTCCGATGAAGCAATCAAGTCTATCCTGGAACAAGCCAAAAGGGAACTGCAAGTGCAAAAAACTGGTATGGATTCCACTTCTTTGACTACTGTTTTCCAAACTTAATTAGAATATTGTCTTGGACATTCTGGTCAGCAGTAGTTAACTTTTCAATTAAAAAAAAAAAGGCAGAATGTATGTTTTCAAGTATTTAGGCAAGTGCAGTAGGTCTTTTGCTAATAGTTACCATTCTTTTTCTGTCATTCTTGAACATTGAGTCAATAAGGTACCCATGATCTAGGATCTTGTTGACTTACTTTAGTAGTTCTTTTTTAAATGCAATATCGCCTTTTTGTTATTTGGATACATGTTTAACCAAACACTACTGAAAAAGAGTGGGTGAAAAATAAATTCTTAACAGCTGCTTTATGGAGTGAATGTTGCTAGGAGGAACAGGGGGTTTGTCCTCCTCTGCGGTCCACATCTAGTCTGCCTCAGGAATTGGCCACGAGCTTCCTGAGAGCTGCCTCCTCTAAGAGGAGAGAACTCCCACATTTCGGCGTTTCTCTGGTTGAGCTTTGAATGAGAAGCGCGCCATGCCATAGATTCAGCTCACACCGCTGGAGAGGAAACTGGGTGCCTGAGTTACCTTAGGCATGAAGCCCTGCTCTGCAGAGCCCCTCCGTGAACCTGAGCACAGGGCTCCTGCCAGGCCTGGCTTCGGGCAGCTGTGGCAACTGAGGACGGGCCACCCCCATGGTCAGGGGGTCTTCTCCCCAGGCTGCCCACTCCCACATTGCTTGTTCATCAGGTGAACTCAGTGCTCCCTCTAGGAAGCAGGCCTGGGCTGGGCATTTTTAGCTACCTTAACCTAGGTCTTCAAACCAGTTCCTCACAACAATCCTGGAAAACAGATTTTGTTATCCTGTTATTCCTGATTAATACACTGAAAGTTAGAATAATTTGCCCAAACTCAGTAGCTGGTAGACTCTGGATGGAAACCCTGATCTCTCAACTCCTATCCCAGCACGTTGCCCTCTGTTGCCACTTGCCTCCTTCCAGAGATCCCAGAGTGATAGGAAGTGACTCCTGTGGGATCAAGCCTGGCAATGGATAGAGCAGGGGTCCTCAAACTACGGCCCTCGGGCCACATGCAAATACAAATACTGTATTTGTTCCCGTTTTGTTTTTTTACTTCAAAATAAGATATGTGCAGTGTGCATAGGAATTTGTTCATAGTTTTTTTTTAAACTATAGTCCGGCCCTCCAACGGTCTGAGAGACAGTGAACTGGCCCCCTGTTTAAAAAGTTTGAGGAACCCTGGAGCTTTCAATTTGGTATGTTCTCACCCTCAAGGCCAGAGTTGAGGTTTAAGCAAGTCCCTCCTCTGGGTGGCAGAACAAACAGAAAACTTGGCAGGGCACCCCAGGCAGCGTAGGAAATACCCCCGAATTGAGAGTGAAAGGCCCACCTCGAGGTGTATCATCTTCTCTCCTGAAGATGTGGTACTGCCCTCACCCGGAGGACGCTGTGAGTGTCAGGTGAGTTGGAAAAGGGAGGGCCTCCTGTTAACCAGGAAAGTGAAGTCCTCAAGAGGCATTAAAGGTTGTCACTGTTGTTCGAGGCATTTTTCAGTGTCATTTAAAGGAGAAGAGCCAGTTTGTATGACTTCTTCCCCCAGATATGAAGGCACATTACAGAGTTGACTCAGCCAGAGGGAGCATTCAGCCCAGCATCTCTCAAGCAGGGCCTCCCTCCACAGTTCCCCGGGAGCTGGTTGAAAATGCAGGTGCTGGTCCAATCCCACACTTGCTTCTCAATCACACACTGCAGGGCTGGGGCCTGGGTGTGTGCATCTTAAGCGAAGCAGGTGATTCTGGTGCACAGCTCGAGTTAAGAATCCTTGATCTAGCCCTCCTGATTTGGCTCAGTGCATGGGGCGACAGCCTGTGGACTATAGGGTCCCGGGTTTGATTCCAGTCAAGGGCATATACCGGTGCAGCTGCACGCGGAAGGCAACCAATCGATGTTTCTCTCCCACATCCATGTTTCTCTCTGTCTCTCCCCTCCTTGCCACTCTCTCTAAAAATCAATGGTAAAATATCCTCAGGTGAGGATTAACAACAACAAGAAAAAATAGAATCCTTGATCTAGTTCCGTGGTCGGCAAACTGTGGGTCACGAGCCACATGCGGCTCTTTGGCCCCTTGAGTGTGGCTCTTCCACAAAATACCACGTGCGGGTGCACACAAACAGTACGATTGAAACTTCGTGGCCCATGCGCAGAAGTTGGTATTTTGTGGAAGAGCCACACTCAAGGAGCCAAAGAGCCGCATGTGGCTCGCAAGCCGCAGTTTGCCGACCACTGATCTCGTCCATTACCCATCCCAAGTTTACAGATGGAAATCCTGAAGCCCAGTGATACCTTGTGATTCCCCCGGGATCACAGCCCTGGGTCCCTGCCCATTGCCCCTCATTGTGGGGCTCGGGTTGCTGGCCACACGACAGTCACCCACCCAGAAGAGAATCTGGGCTAACCCAAACACAGTCACTTACACTGGGAGACTGGTCTCTCACCAACACTGTTAACAGAAATCATGTTTCTAAAGTTTGACAAAACCACTAACATTTTAGAATATAGAAAAACCACAAGAATAGTTTTAAATCATCAGGGAAAGAAAGTCCAGGATGGGTGTCACTGACTATTTGCGTACTCCCTCTGTCTTATCACACAAGATGCACGAATGTCTCACTGATGGGGCACAGCTGGACAAATAGAGCTATGCAGTTCTCCCAAGTGATCTGCACTTTGTGGCAGGTCAGGTTAGGAAGAAGTGGAGTGAAAGAAGCATGCTCACCTGGAGAGGTGGCGGCTGGGCCACCATCTAACCTCCTCTGTGTTCCGTGCAGCAGAGCCCGCCCAGCCTTCTTCCACATCTGGCAGTGGGAACTCCGATGACGCCATCCGCTCCATCCTGCAGCAAGCCCGCCGAGAAATGGAGGCTCAACAAGCTGCCCTCGACCCCGCCTTAAAACAAACGCCACTGACACAGACTGACATTACCATCCTGACCCCCAAGTTAATATCCACCTCGCCCATGTCCTCGGTGTCCAGCTACCCTCCTCTAGCCATCTCCTTGAAGAAGCCCGCCTCCGCCTCTGCCCCTGATTCCAGCAACCCTGCTCTGCCCAACCCCCCAGCCCTCAAAAAGGAGTCCCAGGACGCACCTGGACTGGACCTCCAGGGAGCCACCGACTCTACACCCGGTGTCCTGCGACACGTGAAGAACGAGCTGGGCCGCAGTGGCGGGTGGAAGGACCACTGGTGGAGCACCGTGCAGCCGGAGAGAAAGAACAACCCTCCTTCCGAGGAAACAAAGGCCGAAGAAGCCAGCAGCGGGAAAGAAAAAGGTGGCAGCAGCCAGGCAAGAGCTGAACGCAGCCAGCTCCAGGGACCCTCCTCCTCCTCCTCTGAATACTGGAAAGAATGGCCCAGCGCTGAGTCACCGTACTCCCAGAGCTCAGAGCTGAGCCTGACCGGAGCCAGCCGCAGCGAGACGCCCCAGAACAGCCCCCTGCCTTCCTCCCCCATCGTGCCCCTGTCCAAGCCCACCAAGCCCTCTGTCCCTCCACTGACGCCTGAGCAGTATGAGATCTACATGTACCAGGAGGTGGACACCATCGAGCTCACCCGGCAGGTGAAAGAGAAGCTGGCCAAGAATGGCATTTGTCAGCGGATCTTCGGGGAAAAGGTAAGGGATTCGATTTGGGTGCTTGGGTTTTCCCGTCTATTTTCATTGCTTACAACTAAGTATCTAGAGGACATTGCTGTCACCCATTGCATTAACCAATGAGTATAATGGGCTGTCCACTCCCAAACTTCTGGAAAGGCTGGCTGGTGAATGTTCCATTTGCTGCGTCCCTTTGGGGACCAGGTTCTGGGCTAGACCCTCTAACCAACTGTGCTCCTTTAGACCACTTAGTCACACTGTGAGGGGGATGGTAAAGTTGCCATTTGACAGCCAAGGAAACCGAGGCTCAGGGAAGTTAACTGCCTACGTGCCCCAAGCTGACAGGTGACTGAATTAAAGTCCTGCCTCTGCTGCCAAGTGCAGCCCAGAGGCAGCTCTGCAGGCTTCTTTGGCCAAAAAAGGATCTGACCACGTAGAGAGACAGCCAGCATGCAGAGAACACCAAGGCTATGTAAAGCATAATTGCACCTTTCTCATGATTCAGAAGGCACTGAGGTACTTTCCAGCCAGAGATTAAGTGATTGCCCAGGAATGCATGGCTGGAGGTGGCCCCGGGCAGGGCTGCCCAGAGCCCTGGAAGCCCTTGTTTCCATACCGTCCTTCCCTGACTCACAGTGGCTTAAGGATGAGCTCCCAGACCCTTTCTGTTCTTGGCACTTCCTGGTAACTAGATTCTGGATAATGGGGATTTACCAGGCCTGTAAAATCCTATATAATAAAATGCTAATATGCAAATCGACTGAACAGCAGAACAACTGGTCACTTGGATGCACACTGACCACCATGGGGTAGACGCTAAATGCAGGAGCTGCCCCCTGGTGGTCAGTGCACTCCCACAGTGGGAGCCCCACTCAGCCAGAAGCTGGGCTCACGCTGGCAAGCGCAGCGGTGGTGGCGGGAGCCTCTCCCACCTCTGCAGGCAGTGCTAAGGATGTCCAACTGATGGCTTAGGCCTGCTCCCTATGGACATCCCCCGAGGGCTCCAGGACTGCAAGAGGGCGCAGGCCAGGCTGAGGAACGCCCCCTCCCTCCCCCGCCCCCCCCCCCCCCGAGTGCATGAATTTCTTGCACCGGGCCTCTAGTATAAGATAAACATAATACCCCAGGATCATTTTAAATTAAGTAACGAATGCTGAGCATAATGAGAAGTGCTCCATTCCCCTAAAAGGCAGCCTCCCTGAGGGGTGTGTGGCTGGGTCAGCAGTGGCTTCAAGGGGCCTACCCACCCACCCCTACCCCCACACTGTCCTGCCTTCACTTCAGTGGTCGCAGTGTGGTGCTATGAATCCTTGCAATACCTGATTGTGATCTCTTTGTCCTGATTTTTTAAAAGGTGATGGGGGAATAGAAATGAGGATGAAAATTTAAAGTCCCTTGAAATTTCTAGTTCAGTGTTGTAAAAATATCATTTGAGAACATTTAAATAGACACTTGTGCTCATGCCTTAAATTTAGCAGACTTAATAGTGTTGAACTTGTTTGGCCCACGAGTGCAGTTTATTCTGAAACTTGAGAACTTTTCAAAAGACTGATCGGATGCAGCCCCTAAATATCCCTGGGCTGCATCTGTGTCCTGTGGGGGGTGTTTGTGCCCATACATATGTATGGCCATATGTGAGCATAAGAAAACCCGGGAATGTATGTGCAACTCGTGGATTGTCTACAGCAAGTTTTCCTCCCAGACTTGCTCCCCCGTTGCCACCAGTTCACCTCTGGGCCCCTATTGTAGAGCAGGATGGGATCAGAGAGAGCAAATCTTTCTAAATGCCAACTTGGCCCAGCACCAGCAAAGGAGACTGGCTTCCAACATCCCACCAGTATCCGCTGCTTCTGCCTCTAAAGGGGTCCTTGGCTTCAGCACCTCAGCCTTTCCTGGCGCCACCAGGCAAAGAGCAAGATGGTTTCAATGTTTCCTCCTGGGTTGTCAAGACGACGACCCTGCAGCCTTGGCAGGAGGGAGACCCCACCCCTCCCTTTCCCAGGCTGCCTCTCCCTGGGAGCTGAAAGCTGTGACTATAACCATGGCTCCTCATGCCAGGGCATCAGCCCAGCAATGACCTTGAAAAGTATTCCCCACCCCAGGCTATCCCCATCCTTAGAGCACTGGCTCTCCACTCCTCCCAGAAGCACTCCCTGTGCGTCTTCTGTCACACCTCACAGCGTGCGTGCATGTCACTACAGCCTCACGCTCACCCCTGAGCGCTGATGCAATGGTCTTTGTCTGCCATTCCAGGTGCTGGGCCTGTCCCAGGGCAGTGTCAGTGACATGCTGTCCCGGCCGAAGCCATGGAGCAAGCTGACCCAGAAAGGCCGCGAACCCTTCATCCGGATGCAGCTCTGGCTAAATGGCGAGCTGGGCCAGGGCGTCCTGCCGGTCCAAGGACAACAACAGGGGCCAGGTGAGGGCAGTCCTGAGCTGCTGCAGGGAGGGAGAAGGGGCATCTGGGCACAAGGCAGCCAGCCACATGGCACTGCAGGCAGAGAACTGCCCCCCTTCCTGCACCACCTGTTGCCATGGGACTCACTTCGTTTTTTAGGAGAGAGAAGATTGTGCCTAGCTAATTTTATAAGCAGCAGAAAATGAGTTACCAATTAAGGAAATGCTGTTTATACATAAATATAAGTAAAAGTCAAGTAGCTAAATCGGGGAATCAGGAAAGATCAGCCAAAGGCACAGAGGTGAAAGCTGTGATGGGCGACAGCCTCTGCCTGTTCCCCAGACAGGATCCTACCTTCTACCAGCAGCACTTTGCCTGCCTGTGTGGACCCCGCATTCTGGCCTCTCCCCATAAGGAGTGGGGAACCCTCTCTTAGGCCTTTGGGACTTTATGCTGTCCCCCCTCTGCTAAACTCAGTTAATTAGAAAGCTTTAAACCCCTGGACTTTTTTCCTCATTTAATTGTATTTCTTTTTCTTATTTAGTCCTCCATTCTGTGACGTCACTACAGGATCCTCTGCAGCAAGGCTGTGTGAGCTCAGGTAAATAGCTGATTACTCTTGTTTTGTATGAAATATTTCCCTGCCACATATGTTTTCCTGTCCTCTGGTCTGGAACAGGGATACTCAAAGGGCCCCTCATTCTGGATATGGGAGCTGAAAACATGGTAGGCAGTTGGCAAACTGTGTCCTTGTGGTTGTAGTTTCTGATGGGGAGAGAGAGAGTCGGCAGCTGAGTGCAGAGTTCCTGCAGCCTTTTCTTGCTCCTCGCCGCATTCTCTCATCAGTCTGTCTGTTTCTAGGTGTAAAGCCTTGTGTTCACAGCTGCAGGCTGCGGTTCAAGTCAGGGACAGATTCTGTGCTTGGGACTTCCATTGATAGGAGGGCACAAGGAATGGGCATGCATCGCTCCCAGTGGGGTCATGGTAAGGGGCAGTCAGGTTCCTCTGGAAGATTCTAGGCTGCCTTCAAGCAAGAGGAAAATGAAGGCAGGAAGAGTCAGTTCAGTATGTGACTGGATGGAGAGCCAGGGACACAGCTGAGTGGGGCTGAAGCCAGGGATCCAGCCTGGGAGCAGGTGATGGAGGGCCTGGGATACGGGCAGAGATGGCATCTGAGATCTGTAAGGTCCTTGAGGTGGCACCTCTGCTGTGCACCCAAGGGCTGGCCCACGTGCCCATGCTCCTAGACCCCCTTCCGGGTCCTTCCTGCACAGAGCTTTTCTCACCCAGCTTTCAGGAACAGCCAGCATCACGAGCTGTTCTTTTTTCCTTTCTTTATTTTTCTAAACATCTTGATTAGTCTCCATATCCCATTGATTCATTGAAAACACAAACAAAGCTAAGTGAGGAGCGTGAAGCCCGCCAGCCTGCTGGAAGTTTTACGAGGGAAAACATGTGTAGTGAGGGAACAGCTGGGCGGCAGCGGCCGCTACCACTACAAGATGCCAAACCCACACACAGATGCAGCCCGAGCGCGTAGGTTGCAGCGAAGTTCCCGGTTGGGTTTTCTTGTTTGTTTTAGGTGTCCCATCTGATTTTGACCAAAATGGAGGTTGGAAGGCTGCATGTTGCCCGAGCTGTAGGCTTCTTGGCTGGATATCTAAATGGAATAGTCCATCTGAAGAAGGATCAGGTGGACCTTCCTCTCCCTTCATTTCTGGGCTGGCCCAGTCCTGGAGAACTTAGGCAGTACTGGCTCACATTCAGCATTCATCAGGGAAAATAATGGGCATAGTTGTTCGTGCTAGAGTTTGCGGACGTTTGCATGGAAAATCAGCCTTGCCTCTTGCTCTAACAGAAAGTTGGCCTCCTGTTAAACTCTCCACAGCCTTTGCTACCCCATCAGAGTCAGGACTGAACTTGGCAGACTGTGACTAACATTTCTTAGATCAAAACCCCCTGTTCCTAAATAAAACAGGAAATCTCCTGCAGTCCTAAGTCAGTTATGATCGATGCCAAAACCTTCTCCGTGTCCGAACAAATCTTGGAAGAATGGCTTTTGGCTTTTTGTTGTGTAGCAGGTAATCGCTACCGTGCTGGAACATTCATACAGCAGTCACATTTCCAACCTAGGAAAACACACAGGGCTCCTAAGAGGAATGTAAATGATATTTGTAAGATATCAAATTACTTTATAAAATAAAGTGACGTAAAACTCTTGGGGAGTTTGCAGATTGGAAGAGAGAGGAAGGGGGAGGCAGTGAGCCTCGATAAAAGTAAGCACCAGTCGCCGAAACCGGTTTGGCTCAGTGGATGGAGCATCGGCCTGCGGACTGAAAGGTCCCGGGTTCGATTCCGGTCAAGGGCATGTACCTGGGTTGCGGGCACATCCCCAGTGGGAGATGTGCAGGAGGCAGCTGATCGATGTTTCTCTCTCATCGATGTTTCTGGCTCTCTCTCTCTCCCTTCCTCTCTGTAAAAAAAAAAATCAATAAAATATATTTTAAAAAAAAAAAAAGTAAGCACCAGTGGCTTCTGTAAAGAAGTGGCAGGCAGGCCTCTCCCTATGTCATCTCAGTAAGACAGGAAATGGGTTGCACACCACTTACCCAGTGCACCCATGGTCGGTCAGCAGTAGGGAAGCCATCAATAAAAACAATGATTGTGATGACTGGAGAAATGTGGAAAAATATTTCTCATATCCTAGGAAAATGCAAACTTTCAAGTATCATTATGGTAACTATGCAAAAATACTTTTCTAGATCAAGAAAGCTAGAAAGTGCTTCACAATTGGAAGAAAGATCTTTGCACAGTGGCAGGATTGTGGCTGGTAGTTTTCCTTGTTTGAAGTTTCTTTACAATCAGTGTTATTCTTTAAGATTGTTTCAAAGAATTAAAGTAGCTGTGCTTTTCAATATGTGGCATTTAGATTCAAAAGACAGAATTACAATGACGGAAATCATTGGGATGAATGCCTATAGAAGACTCCAGAATCTTCTTGACAGCTTAAAAGAGCAGTGTCTCTGAGGAAACATTCAGCATTGCTCCCCCAGAAAAGGGGAGTGAGGCCTCTGGTCCTAGGATTTCTCCAGGATTCTGAGTCCCTGTTCTCACCATGGCTACCTCAGAATCCTTCCAAGAGACTCCAGACCCAGAAGGATGCTCTGCCTTGGTGGTGGCTCCATGAGGTCTCTACCCCGGGGCATCTTGGCTGCAGGAAGGTAATTCCAACCATGAGTTGGTTTATACCTGAATATTGGTGAGAATTCAGGCTGCCAAACTAGCCTGGAGGTCAGATTAGCCTCCCAGGTGCAGGACTTTGGAAGACTTGCCTTCTGTTCATAGCCCTTCAGTAAGAGCTATAGTTTTGTTGCCAAGATGGTATGGACCTAATGCGTGGCTCTGTGCTTAGTTACCATGGCGATAGGGTGCCCCAGGAGTGGAATGGCCTCACTCATTTAAACAGGAAACTGCTGACCCAGGAATCTGTTTTCCTCACTGAAGAATTCCTGTCTGTCTCTTTCTGCCCAACTTCGTTGCCTCTCAGCATCTCTATTTTCCTTAATGATTTGTATGTCAAACTTGCTGATCAGTTTTATGATAAGGGGAGAGAAACAATGATTGCATCATTTTTTTCCTCTTGGTGGTTATAACCATTTCTGAATGCTCCTTTGATGATCTGAGCGTTGGGGTGATAGCCTTGGGCATTAAGGGAAGTTGATGTGCCATTTTCAGCTAGTAACCTGTGCTTTTTGTTGAAGCTGTTGAGGCCTTGAAGAGTAGGAGTGCAGAGGGTTCTATGCCAGTCATATGAGTTACCTGTTCATATATTTCCTGGTAGTCTAGTTTTCTACAAACATTTTTGTATTGTCTTCTTTCAAAGCCCCCATGTCCAGTGTCATGGGAGGTGGGGCAGTGGTTATATACAGGGACTCTGATCTAATATGGCAGACCTATTTGAATGTAGAATTGGAGGTAGTCCTTTGGAATTGGTTCTCTAAGTCTCCCTTTTGTTTGTCTTCCACCGCAGGCATCACCCATTAGCTTCTGATTTTGGCTTTAGCAATAGCAATGCAGGGGGCGGGGCAGAAGGGAGGAACACTTAATGTAGAAGGAGAGGGAGGGGCCTAGCAAGGCTGTGTTCTCTGCCTATGGCCTGCAGTAATTGCTTACCATTTAGCAGTGTGTTTAAAGGGAAGAAAGCCTTGAGCTGTAGCAAAGGGGGTGTGTGTGTGTGTGTGTGTGTGTGTGTGTGTGTGTGTGTGTGTCTTTGTAGGTAGGTACATAGATAGGTAGATATGATGTAGTAAACCATTGGATTTTTTTCTTTTTTATTCCTTAAAGCTCTTTATAGTCACGGTCTCTTGGTGTGATTAATCTTTTTGCCCCTAGGGAAGAAGAAAGAAGACAACTCTAAAGGGGAGGAGGGGTGGGAGGAGGAACGGATTGTCCTGGCTGCCACCTTAGTCATTACATACAGAAATCTGATAGAGGATTGTTGCCCAGTGCACTTGGCTTTATAACTTTTTAATATGGGAGTGTTTCAGCGTTGTAGCTAACAATCATCCACCCCAGCTTCAGATGGATTATTGCAAGCTGTACAAGCAAAAGGATGGCCCATTCTCCTCAGATTAATCACAAAATATCCGGCTTTTTCCCAGCGTGTCAGTCAGGAACTGCGGGTTCCAAGTCTTCCCCACCCGTGGCGAATTCCGTGGCTCCGTGTTGTTATTTTCAATCAGCAGAATATCAGTTGCCTCCTGAGAAGACAGCAGCTGCAGTCTGTCTCTAACGTGGGTGGTCCCATGTGTACCCATCCCTGATATGATGACCACGGAGCTGTGTGCTGTACATGGCCTTCCATGGCCAGGAGATTTACTGGCCACAACCCCTTGTTAGGGACAGGCCAGAGTTCCTTTTAATATGCACCATCTCTTGCTTTGTACCCATGAGATGACCAGGAAAATATGCCCAGGATTTTAGTGCTTTGAACTCAGCAGTAGGATTTGATGCAGCTTCCTTGAATAAGCAATCAGTTCCTCAGTTTTAATGACTAAATCAGGGTGGGGCATTTGGATACACTAATAGGAAGAGGAGGGGCTAGTTGCACCCCCAAAAAATCCCATGGCACTTTCTAAAGCAGGCAGAGCCCCATTCACTGCCTTAGACTGGATTTGATTTGATTTTTTCTCTCTTCTTTTTCATCAGAATAAATCAGTGAAAGTAACTGTTGGTTCTCTCCAAAAAGAATTATTCTGACCCTTATTTATTTTGAATAACAGAAAAGGCTTGACTATAACTAACTTATACATAACTACAGACAACAGAACAAAAAACAGGAAAGAATTCTGGAGAGAGCATGTCAACTAGAAAGTGCCCTCCCGGTGCAGGTGGCCACTACGCATCATTTGGCCAGGGGTTCAGCCTTCTACACCCACGGAATATGGTGGCCAAGAGAACTAAGTGCCCCATTCCTTTCTTTCTTTCTTGGTTGGTTGTAACCTGCATTAGGACTTTTCTTTTTTCTTTTTTTTAATCAAGAGTGCCATAATTAGGGAATTTTCTACTCTGAGGTCAGAAAGGACAGGTTTCTGGATTCAG